TAGATGTGTATCCTTATAGGCCACAAGAAATTTGTCACCTAAATGTCTTTTCAATGGGACAAAAATACATTCCCAAACATACAGAGTCATACCTACATAGGCAACTGGCTGCAATGAATCTGAAGTGCTTGGAAGAATCTTGTCAGCTGCAAACCCCAAAGACCACTTCCCTATGCACACATATATATTGCACATGTAGGCTGTTTCAACAATCTGTTTTATTTTGCAATTGCATGCAACTAATTTTATTCGTAATACAAGTTTGTGGCAATGACTACACATAGTGAACCTAAGTCAACCAAGACTTAAGCAGAACCTACAATTATGGCTAGAATGAATTACCCTCAACTTACTTTACCTGAGAAAGTTTCTGCTCACAGCGAGGGTCACATACTCAAATGCCCAGAGGTCCTTGCCACTTGCTGAGAATGAATGAAGCAGGCTGGTAGTGAGCATAGAAAAGAGGAGCCGCGGTTCAACTCCAATGAATTAATACAATAATGTGGGGATTTGACCAGTGTTTCCACATCATTTGATTCTGTGAGAGATGCCAAGAAATCTAGATTTTTAAATAAAACAGCCTAAAAATGTCTACTCTAATTTTCTTCAAAACATTGTGTAAGCCAAACAAAATACCTCTTACAACTTCAGACCTAGAGCATTAAATTCCCATCTCATAGTGGACAGCAATTGCTTTTTTTCCTGCTCAGCATCCCTTCCCTGATTGTGTGATAATAGAACTTCTCTTCCCTGGGGACAACCCTTTCCATGTGGTTCCATCAGAGAAGAGGACACATGACTCAGGCCCTTCAGCTTTGGTGGAACCTTTCTGGTAGAGCCTTGAATGGACTGTATGTTCGCATTGGGATTACGAAACTTGGGCTTCCTGGGCCCTTCTTGTTTGCTCACGGAGAGCTTCAAAGGCGTGATGACATCGTCTCAGCCCCTGGATACAGCTACCATGATAGTCTATAAGAATTTTCAGGTGCATGAATCAACTCCCCCCCCCCTTTATTTTTTATTTTTTTGCCTAAGCTATGTTGGTTCTCTTACAACCAAAACACATCCGTAGAAAACTGTTACATAATCCATGCTACAGTCTTCCAACCATAAGATCTGTGAGGACATAGGTGCCTTTAGTCCGAAAGGCATTTCAAATGCCAAAGACCAGCATTTCCACATCATTGGATTCTTTAAGAGATTCCAGGAAATCTAGATTTACTCACTGTAGGCCCTTCTGGGCTGTGATTTGTGCTTGATTTTGTGAATTGGCAGAAGGAACTGAAAATTCTAGTGTATAGTAAGAGTGGCGCTCATTTGACTTTGCTCTGGTCAGTATATAGCAATGGGGAATGGGCAAACCAACAACTGTAAGAAGCCCTCCAGGCGAAGAATGGGGGTGGGAAATGAGCTCTAGATGGTACTGACTAGAGAGAGCCGTGGAGGACTACACAAATGACAGGGCAGAGGTTTGTTCCGTGGGGACAGGACAATGGTCAGGCTAAGAATGTAACGGAGTGCTAATAGTCAGGTTTGTGCACCCGACAATAGCTTTAGGCTTTAAAAAAATGCTCACACGTGCTGCTAAATCACCATCTTAGGGCACATTTTCTAGTTCCAGCTTTCTTCCCTGAAGCAGGAAGCAAAGATGGGTTCTGTTTGTTGCTGTAGTAGAGGCTAGTTCTCAGAGACAGGGACTGCCCACTGGAAAGGTGACCAGCCTCAGCACAGAGGAAAGGATGACAGGACAGAGTCAGGGAGCACCAGAGCACCTCTACTCTTATGGCGCCAGGACAGTCCTTCGAGCGGGAAGCAGTCTCAATTCTTGTTCTAGGAGCAGCAACCGAGAGGCGAAAAGTACAAAACACTTCATCCGGCCCTGTGGGTCTTCCCCAGCTAGGCTTCTTCCATGTGTGGTGCCTGGTCCTGTTAGCTCTCTCACTCAGCCAGCTGTTCACTAACTGCTTCGTACATTTATTCTGTGTGACAACATCACGCTCTGGGGCTTGATTTTTCAAAGGCTACCTAACATAAATATTCCGTCCAAGATAAAACAGAATAGTTAAAAACAGGCACACTTATCCCCTTAGCTGTGCATCTCCTATTTGTATTACCAATTTATAGCATATTTTCAGTTATTTTGCCTATTTTGCTCATTCAGGTGAAACTGACAGGTTTTAACATACAAAAAGAATATCTAATTTTTTGAGGGTTAACAACAATCATGATAGAAGGCAGGTGAGGGGAAAGGAAGGCCTGAGCTCAGATTCCAAACTCTGCAACTCAGCACAGCTAAAACAACTCACACTTCTGTAAGTTGTTATAAATAATATACGACAATGACAGAATAATTCTATAAAGAACATAGTATATTAGAGGCCCTCACACTGCACTGTAATAAGGAAGTGGAGGCTGGGAAATTACAGTGGTACTGGCTGTCATAGGAGCACACGGAACACCACCAACTCTGAGAGGGAGGCACCGGGAAAACTCACTGTAGGAAGTAACCAGCAAGGAGGAACCTGAAGAAATAGAAGGAGTTCGCTGGACGACAAGTTCTAGACAGACAACAGCATGTGCAAAGGTCCTGAGGTGAAGCAATGCTGCAGAATCAGTGGTTTCGTCCTGCTGAAACTTTGGGCCTCTGCATGAGCGAGTACACAAGGGCTGCAGGGGAGATGAAAGGAGTAGGGGGATAATGCAGTTGGCCCTGTAAGCGGGAGTTAGATCAAGTGGTGTGTGTTGTTTGCCACATAAAAGTGTCAGTCCTTTCACATTTGTTTTACAGCCTAACATGTAGTGTATCCTGGAGAATGTTCTGTGTACACTCGAGAAAAATTCGTATTCTGTTGTTGGGTGGAATGTCCTTTAGATGTCTGTTAGATTTAGTTGGTTTATAGCATTGTTCACACCTTCTATTTCTATCCTCTATAGTTGTTCTTAAAGTTGGATATAGAAGTCTCCAAATATTATTGTTGAATTCAGGATTTCTCCCTTCAGATCTGTCAGGTTTTGCTTCATGTAATTTGGGGGATCTGTTATTAAGTGATTGTATACACTTATGGTTATCATATCTTCTGGATGGAGTGAACATTTATCATTAAAATATGCCTTTCTTTGTTCTAGTAACAATTTTTGTCTTAAGGTATACCTTGTCTGATATTAGTCTAGGGCCAAACATGTCAAACTCACAGCCCATAGGTCACGAGTTTAACATGCTTGGCACTCCAGCTCTTTTGGTTTCTGTTTACATGATGCATCTTCCTTTTTTTTTTTAAACACTTTAAACTGGTTTGTATCCCTGAATCTAATGTGTGTCTCTTGTCAATAAATTAAGGATCATTTTTAAATCTTTTCTGTCAATCTGCCTTGGATTGGAATGTTTAATTTCCTTACATTTAATTACTGATAATTCAGGATGTATGTTTGTCATTTTGTTATTTATTTTCTGTATTAGTCATATGTCTTTTTTATTTCCCTATTACTGCCTTCTTCTTTGCTAAATGGATATTTTCTAGTGTACCATTTTAATTCCCTTGTCATTTCTTTTACTGTTGTTTTGAGTTATTTTATTAGTCATTTTACTAGAGGTTATTCACAATAGCAGATTTAAGTGTCTGTAAAGTCTGTCATCTGGGTAGCCTCAGAGGTGGTTTCTAATAATTGCTTTTCCCCCCCCATGTAAGGGTCATGCTTTATTGTTTCTTCACATGTTTTTGTAATTTTTAAAAAAATATATTTTATTGATATTTTACAGAGAGGAGGAAGGGAGAGAGAGAGCTAGAAACGTCGATGATAGAGAAACATCGACCAGCTGCCTCTTGCACACTCCCTACCCGGGATGTGCCCGCAACCAATGTACATGCCCCTGACCGGAATCGAACCTGGGACCTTTCAGTCCGCAGACCAACACTCTACCACTGAGCCAAACCGGTCTCGGCTGTTTTTGTAATTTTTTTAATTGAAAATTGGACACTTAATATGTGGCAACTCTGGAAGTCAAGATGTTGCTATTTGGATTTTGTTTGATGATATTTCTTGACAAATCCTGTAAAACACAAGTAAGGGAAAAAGTAAGTCTATAGTTGTCATTATGGAAAAAATAATAAATAATAATAATACAAAAATAGACTGTTTCACATTGATTAGCTTAATGGCCACTTGTGATGTGAGAAAGGTGAGGTGATACAATAATAACTGTAAATGAATATTGGTAAATTGAAGATGCACATGAGTATCATTAAAAAAGTAATAAAATTATGTATCTAGTATAGCTAAAAGACAATAGAGGAAATAAGACGAATGACTAAAACGCACTTGATTAACCCAATCAGATGCTTTACCTTTCACATGGAACTGGTGGATCTGAAGTCATCTGTACACAATTCAGCAGTCCTACAGAAAACGAATATTTGTGATTAGTTATCTAATCTAGTTGGATTTGAAGACAGTGAGGATCTGTTGATCATGGGAGAGAACACTAGAAGCACTTCTGTGACCAGTTACTATGATGAGCATTGCTTAATTGCAGACCTCAGAATCCACTGGAACTGGTTAAAGCAGGAAAGTACTTATAAGTGAACTAGCCTTTAGAATTTCTGGGAGGGAGTGGGTATCAAGTTTCAGTGCCATGCTGCCGAGAGAATGCCTTCAACTACACTGGGAGATCATTTCAGCAAAAATCCTGCTGTGGCTGCAGTCTGTTACATAATTTGGTTGAATATATCTATATTTATATATAAATTTTTATATGTAAATAGAGAGAGTGTGACCTTACAGAGTTAGCGTTAGATACATTAATAACTATTATATTATCTGCAAATAAGGGAATTATATGGATAATATTTATTTTGGTTATTTTCTTACTCAGCCTGTGTTCTAAATGCATGAACTAACCTGGTCACCTTAAACATTGAAAATGAAGTTTTGGATCATGTGAGTTAAAAGATGTTTACCTTTAAACCATGAAAGCAACTTAGTTATTTCTGTTGTGTTTTTAGGCAGAAGAAATCCTTAGGCAAGAGCTGGAGAAAAAGGAAACGCCAAGTCTGTATTGCTTGCTTGGCGATGTCCTCCGTGACCACCGCTGCTACGACAAGGCCTGGGAGCTGTCCGGCCACCGCAGCGCCCGCGCTCAGCGCTCCAAGGGCCTCCTCCACCTGCGCAACAAGGAGCTGACGGAGTGCGTGCAGTGCTTTGAGCGCTCGGTGCAGATCAACCCCATGCAGGTCAGGCAGTTCAGGAAACCCCATCTGCTCTCCGCACTAACGGGTTTCTTTCTTGCTTTCTTTCTTTCCTTTTTTTTTTTTGTCAGTCCTCACCAGAGGATATTTCCATTGATTTTTAGGGAGAGTGGGAGAGAGGGAAAGACAGAGAGAAACAGCGATGTGAGAGAAACACATTGATTGGTTGCCTCTTGCATGAGCTCCGGGCTGGGGAGGAGCCTGCAACCTAGGTACATGCCCTTGACCCGAATCAAACCCGAGACCCTTTGGTCCACAGGCTGCTGCTCTGTCCACTGAGCCAAACTGGCTAGAGCCTAACAGTTTTCTTTGATTTAGACTCTTCCTGAACAAGTACCCTCTTTCTGCCCTAATGGCTGGTGAGCTTGTCTTTGACTGCTAAGAACTTCATCTCAGATACATTTTTTGCTTATGAGCAGAAGTGGACTCTATATTGTGTGTGTGTTTATTTATTTATTTATTTATTTTTTTTCCCCTCACATAAATTTTATTTATTTATTTATTTATTTATTTTTTTAAATAAGTTTTTATTGTTCATATTATTACAAATGTTCCTTCCCCCCCCCCCACCATTGCTCTCCTCCACCAGGTTCCCACCCCACCCTCTGCCCTTTCCCCTCTCCCCATTGTCCTCATCCATAGGTGCACAGTCTATGTTCAGTCTCTTCCCATGCCCCCCTCTCCCCTTTTCCCCAAGAATCGTCAGTTCATTCCCCTTCCATACCTCTGATTCTATTATATTCAACAGTTACTATTGTTCATCAGATTTTTTTAATTTCCTTGGTTGTGTGTGTGTTTTTTTAAATTGACTTTCTGTTCATTTTGTTAGTGTTATTCTTCCTGCATAAGGCAAATATAGCTGTTAAAATTAAGTCCCATTTTGAAAAGATACATTAGAAAGGAAATGAATCAAAATTACAGACAGTATAGGATTCTGCAAGTAACTGGTGAAATCAATAAATGAAAGAAAAACTTCCATATAAATAAAATAGGATAACAGAATGGATCGCTGATCATCATAAGAAGAAATGTTACCAAGCATTTACTATGAGCCGGGTGCCTCACTGGACATTTGGCCAGTATTTGAACCTACATGGTCTGCCTCCGGAACCTGCACTTCTTTTTTTTAAAAATTGTGGTAAAAAGCTTTTCACAAAACTTTTTCATCTTAACCATTTCTCAGTGTAAAGTTCAGTAGTGCGAAGTGTGTTCACATTGTTGTGTGAGCATTTCCACCATCCACCTGCATATGTTTATCTTGCAAAGCAGTGACTTCCTATCCCCCTGCCCCTCTAGTTGCTGACAACCATTCTGCTTTCTGCCTCTGAATTTGACTGCTCTTAAGTACCTCGTATGAGTGGAGTCATAGACTATATTTATCCACAAGAATCATCCATGTTGTAGCATGTGTCAGAATTTCCTTCCTTTTTAAGGCCGAATTCCATTGTATGTATGTATGTACCACATTTGTTTTTCCATTCATCTGTCAACGGACCCTTACTTGAGTTGCTTCAACCTCTTGGCTTTTGTGAATAATGCTTCTGTGTACGTGAGTATGCACAAATAGCCATTTTAGAACATAGTAGACTCAGAGCTTGTCTTTTACATAGAAAAAATATCAGAAGTACATTTTTTATGATGCTTACTTTCCTCATCTGAATGGTAAGTATCTTCCAAATCAGGTGGCTGGGAAAAGCCTCTTTGTACTCCCTTGAATATTTTAGGTACATCCCTGCCTCACAGATATAGCACTTGCTCTTCCTTTGCCTGGAATGTTCTTCTTCTGGGCATCTGTGTACCTTGCTCCGTAGCCTCATTCAGGTCTTTGCTCAAATGACTTTTTCTCAGAGAGGCCTTCCACGATGATTCTATTTCAAATCATCTCCCCCTGACACTCCTTAATTTCCTTCCCTGCTTTGTTTTTCTTCATGGCACTTAGAACCTTCTAATATTATAGCTTACATAAAAAAATTATGTGTATCCTCCACCTGCAGTAAGTCCCATGAAGGCAGAAGTTCTTATCTGTAAGTTTTAATTTATTTCTGTAGTGCTGTAACAGTTTCGTCTATCACATATTGGATAGTCAATAAATATTTGACTGAATAGATAATATTTTTAATCAATTGTTCTGTCAATTATATACTGATTGTTTGCTGTGCACACAGAATTGAACCAAAAGATAAAGCAGTAGCAACAGATCACCGGATAGTTCTGTTTGTACCTTCTGGTACAGTCTAGTGAAATGAACACAGATAAAACCGGCCAATTACACAAGGCGTCAGAGAATGACCAAGTGAATTATTTATAAAGCACTAGTTATTATATATAGAAGCCAAAGAGAATATTTCTGCCCCTGGGAGACATTGGAGAGGATGTTGAACTTGGCTTTGAAGGACAAATAGTACTTAAAGAGGCCAGGGGAGGGGCAGGGGTGGGAGCATTCCAGGCAGGTGAGCCGTCTGAACAAAGCCTAGACACAGAATAAGAAGGAAGGGGTGTGTGAACAGGCTGGTTTTTTAGAGTCAGAGGGAATAGAGCAGTTCCAGTGGGAAAGCTAGCCTGGAGCCAGATTACGAAAGGTCTTAAATGGGACTTTTCATTTGGCAGATAGGGGCCATGGAGGGTTGGTTTGTGTTTGGCTTCGTTTTTGAGGAAGGAATGCGGTGTGCATGGAGGTAATTTGGGAATATGGCTTTGGCGCACGGGGTAGGAGGGTTAGGGAACTAGCAGCAGCCTGGCACGGCCGCGTCAGTGTGGAAGGGCAGCAGGAAAGAAGGGATGGATGTGAGGGAATGTGCAAGGCAGGACGTGACAGGACTTACCCGTCTCATTATATAATTTTGAATTAATTACTCAGCGAGACAGAAAATGACAATTGTTTAAAGCAGTACAAACAGATGTTATGTGAGGGTGTTTTGCAGTGTGGCATATGGATCCAATTGCGGCAGGCCGTGAGCATGCCAGAATGTGCAGCCATTTGATCTGCAGTTGTACAGACTACCGCAGAGGCAGACACTGCAGACTTGCCCTAGCTGGGGTCCAAGTGTGAACTGTCTCTCAGGAAGGCAGCTCTATGTGCTGTTCCCTCCTGTAAGTCCTGGGATAAAAGGAAAACAGAAAAAAACGGAATTCCACCCTCTTTTCTCACACTTAAACCAATGCAATTAGGTTTAATAACAGAATTTAGGCAAAATGAGAGTGATGTTTGAATGGCTCTTGTGCATCATAACTACTTTCTGAAATCAAAGGGGTATTAAAATACCATCTAAGTGCATCATCTCTGCGTCTATGGCCATTTGTTAGATGTGTGTACCATTTACAGCATTCATGCTTTGGAGATTACTGTCTGTCATTCACTTATAAATTCATCAGAAACATGTCAGTGACATGGTATTAGAATGATCAAGGAACTGATTAGGATGTATGAGTACCTAAGAAAAAGTAACATTAATTCTGTAATATATTGCAGAAATGTGCAGATGACACAAATGTATAGCTTCATGAATGTTCTTTTTGTTAGTTTTAAATGTTCAGGTAATCAGTATTAAAATTTTTTAATTTTAATGTACAGTATTTTTATTTTTCAAAAATAATTTTAGTTTTGAAAATAGTTTTCAAATCTTATAGATCCCTAATATAGTAAAACCAATTTTTTGGTCAGTAACTTGTTGGCCAATAAATAAAGTCTTTTTTAAGTCATATATTTTAAATTATTTTTAATGTCTCATTTCACTTTCAGAATATTGTGGCTTGAACAGTATATCATGTGGTTGCCTGACTACGGGCTATCGAGGGCCTGCTGTGTACCAGGCATGGCAGTGGGAATGAATTAGGCTGCATCAGCCTATCAGCAGAGAGCAGAGCGTTTCCGCCGGGAAGTGATAGGGACAGACTCCTTGGTGGGGAGCCTAAAATGCCTTTCTTCTGGGTTATCTGACTCTCTGGATGTGGGAGTCTGTTGTGGTTTTGAATAAAAGAGTGGATGATATGACGAGCAGTACTCAGGAAGTTTAAATAAAGAATGAGATCATGGGTGAGTTAGCAGTGAGGATGGAAAGGGAGCATGGGTTGAAGCCTCATTGCAAAGGGACGTTTTCTGGGCCGTATTCACTGAGCTGGTAGGACCGAGATTCCAAGAGGATGTCAGTTTTCTCAGTTTTCTTGTTAAAAAGGAAAATGTCCCCGTTGATAGATACAGATATTTCAAGAGGAAGGGAAAGTACATATATACATGGGACGGTGCTGTGACTTTGCATGCTGACTTTGAGGAGGTGTAGCTGTGTCTACTAGTAAGTAAAGCTGCCTGAGAGATACTTCACTGGACATAGGAACCTGAAGCCCATAGTGAGGCCAGAACACAGCTTCCAGACCCAGCTTTTCTGCCGAGTAAGGTGAAACCATACAAGTGAATGGATTCTTTACAGAAAACTGTTGGTTTTTTCTTCCAACACTCAGCTCCGGACATCCCCAGCAGTGGAGGAAGGGAGAAGGAAGAGCACCAGTGAGACAGGGCTCACACAGAGTACTCCAGGGTTCTGATCAGAGAGACAGAAGGAAACCAAGGAAGGGATTCATGGGAACTTAGGAAGATAGTCAATGTTTTGGGACGATCCAGCACATGACAGAGAGTAAGTCTCTGCAAGACCAGGGAATTTTAGAGAAACTGAGGCAGCTCTTCTCAGCTCATTCTCACATAAGATCAGACTGCTATCATACTCCATGGCTTTAATTACCCTGGGAGCTTACATTCTCTCTTGATTTGTAGGGATTAACTTTATCTTTCATTTAATGTTGGAAAGAAGAAAGTATTATTCGAACTAGAGTTCCATGGTTTCTGTTGTGAATGTATATTAGTTGTGGTGGGAAGATTCAAGGAGAGGGGAGCTTACATTCCACTGGAGAAGACAGAGTGAACATGTGTGAATAATATGTAGAGAAAAAAGAGATTCTTTCCTTTGTGTTCTTCATCTCTCATATTGGTAAGCAATAAAAAATGAAACTCTTAAGGTCTAACTTGCATAACTGCCAAGAAACACAAGCCCTGGGATAACATCTGGGCCGTGGCTGTGACTGGGAGGTGGAAAGAGGGCAGGAGCTTTGCTGCCATAGGCCAGATTCTGAATCCCCGTAATCCCAAGGACTGTGACGTAGGTGAATCACTTCATTTTCTGGGCTTCAGTGCCCTCATTTGTAAAGTGGAGGTTATAATCCCTATCCCAGTTTTCTGCTGGGAAAATGAGAGCTAAGCTATGTAAAGTATCCCACTCAGTGCTCGGTCATAGATGTTACAGAGTGGGATTTTCCCATCCTGCTTGTAGTGTGGTAGTAATGGTGGTAGAAAAATCTTTGTTGCCTCTTTCTCTGCAGCCTAAAAATAGGGATGTTTTTCTAACAGGAGAGTCTCAAATGCGCATGACAGACCAGCACCTATAATAGTTCACATTGTGCATTCTCTGAACGTGGGGGGGGGGGGGAGAACAATTGTAAAAACCAGAATAACCAAATCTAGAACAGGAATAAGAGGAGGGCATTAAACAACTAATGGGCTGTGTAGTAAAATAAAAATGTGTGCATAAAATTTCACTGATCCTTTGGTTTAAAGGAAGACACTGCAAGAGAGAAAGAGAGAGAGAGAGAGGGGGGGGAGGGAGAGAGAGGGGGAGAGAAGCTGGTGGGTTAAGATGTGTTTTTTAGGGAAAATAACTTGGGACTTAGTAAATGAGAAATCTGGTTACAAAAGAGTTGGTGGTAGACATTAAAAACAAACAAACAAAAAACCATGAGTATGCAGCATCACTTTAGGAAAAGCTACTACCAAAGAACATTGATTATCATTCTTGGATTCAGTGTGGGTCATTTTCTGTTTGATCAAACCACATTCAACAACTGATCTGTGTGTGGGATCATGGGAATGTGTCAGGGATGTATAAAGGAGAGAAAGGGGTGTGAAGCTTGGCTTTAGGACTCCATTAAAACATGTAAAGCTTTATTATATGTGACATCAGAAAAATTCAAACAGTCAGTCCTGTAAGGAAAATTAGCAAAAAGTGTGTGAAGAAACTGATGATTCATTCTGCAGAAACCTTGGAGGAAGGAATTTTGAGTAGTAGGCTCATAATGTAAGAAAGGAAATTGTAATATGTAAACAGATGGCACCTTGTGCAGACGTGCTTTAAGTGCCCTTGTAAAAAATTAACCGTTTAATTATAAAACTAATCCACCCGTTGTGTAGCGGTGCTTAGTATTTCCTAGCCGACTGAGTGGCACGCTTTAACTCCCACTTTAATCATCAAGGGCTCGTAAGCATTGTAGTCACTCTCTTCATCACATGAATCTCACACCGGGAACCGGGACCCATTGTTTGGCTTTGGACAAATTACTTCCTTTCTAGACCTCGATTTCCTTTTTTAATGGATTCCTAAGGCCTCTGATTGAACAGATCCCCTTCTAGCTCCTCAAACCTGTGATTCTAATTCTAATCTCCTTGTATGACCAGTGTACTTGTGTTGCCACTAGATGGCACTATTGCAGCTTTGAACCCTGTCACCTCTGGGTTTTCAGAATCTGGGGTCCCAAGGAGCCTTGGAATTTTTTATTCCGACCTCCATTAAACAATTGGAGAACTGAGTCTCAGAGGTTAAGTGACAAGGCCAAGGTCATACAGTTATACAGAATCTCTTGAATCTCAGGCATCCATCTTTCCATTGCACTGTTTCTCTAGGGAACTTTATGAGGAAAGTTAAGAGACCATATTCTCAACCATTGCTGTTCTTTTGTTAATTATTTTTAAAATAATTCAAAATCATCCTTTAAGAATACATGTTATCACATTTCAAATAAATAGTTGGCCTGCTTGTGTTTTGCATTGGTTTGCTCAGGAGAGAAAGCTGAGTGTCAGCTTGTACAGATGATTGCTCCCCGAACTGCACCCCCCCTCATGTGTCAGGCTTGCCCTTGCAATTTGCCTGAAGTAAACTGTGCAGGAACCTCAGCCAGAGCCTCTCCAGATGACTTCCTCTGTCTTGCCCAGTCCCTCAGATAAGAGGTTTGCCTTTCAGCTCTTCCTTCCAACCAAACATGGTCATCTGTTCTTCTGTTTCATCTTTGTCTGCCCGCCTACTCAAGAGAGCATGGGGAGAGGGGGTTTGATATGCCCTGGTTCTTAAAACATTGATCTTCTCAGCTTTCCAGCACCTGTTCACTGCCTTCCCCTCCTTCATCGTTAGCAAGGATGGCGTTGCCATAAATCATGCCTCTGGGGGCAGGGTGGTAATAATAGTTTATGTAACAGTTTAAAATAAAAAAGTAAAAGAGGCACCAAATATTTCCTTAGTCTTCCAAATTCTGAGGCCCTCAACTGAAAAGCAAGATATGAATGCATTATTTGTGGTTTAGTGGGTCAGCCACAGCAGTGGGAAGATCCTAGAGTTTTTTATTTTAAAGCCACTTCACTATTTTAAAGAATAGGGTATGTGCAATAGTCATCTCATTATAATTATACTAGAGGCCCGGTGCACGAAATTTGTGCAAGAGTAAGCCTTCGCAGCCCCAGCTGCCTCGGCCCTCGCAGCCCCGCTCCGGCTTCGTCTGGGAAGGTCATCAGGATGGTCGTTCAACTGTTTGGCCGTTCAGTCAATGTGCATATTACACTTTTATTATTATAGATGTTAGCAATATTTAGATGAAAATGTATTGCAGTTGATGATTTTAGGATTTTTCTTCTGATGCAAATAAAACAACAACACAAATGACCAAGAGTAAAAAAGAGAACCTTAATGCGTATTAAGTCATCTGCCTGATTTCCATTTAATTTATTTTCATCTTAAGACCCTGATTTATAAAACATTGACTTATTTAAAAAAAATTCAAGCTAAATAGTAACTTCATTACCAGCTGTAAGATAGAGAGCTAGAAGATAATAGCTAATTTTAGACATTTGTAACCTTTGTCTTTTCAGGTGGGTTGAAAAATCAAGTTCTTTATTTGCATATTGATTTTGCATTTTCTGTTTTTTATGACCACACACATGGAATTGCTTTGTGGAGAGTTTATTCTTTGCTAATCAGAAAGCAAGAAGGTTGCATCCTTTTTTGAGAACTTTGAGGGTAGTTCTCATTGATTCTGATTTAGTCCCAGAATGAGGTATTACTCATTCAAAATGAACTTGCTTCCGTGATTCATTGGCTATAAGATGCCATCAACTGTAAGAGGCACATTTATTTTAGGTGCCACTTTAATGCTGCCAATAAAACTCGATGACAAGCTATTGCTTATTAAGGTGCCACGCACATACGGGAATCAACCAATGAATGCATAAATAAGTGGAACAACAAATTGGTATTTTCCCCCTTTCTGTCAAGTCAATAAATAATTTTTTAAAAGGTTAAGAAAAGAGATGCATCTATTTCAGAGATGTTAAATGCTGAAAGGAAAGTATACCTTATAACTGATGAAATAAATACACAGATTTTGACTCTTTCAACTTGGTTAGAAGTTAAAGATCTTGTTTGGTTTATTGTTTTATAAGTTAGCATCAAATTTTAGACTCTCACATTCTGTCATATTCAGTGAATGCGGTTTGGTGCTTTGGAGCTTTTTTTTTTTAAATTTTTATAGATTACATCCTATAAATTTGATTCCAAAATTAACCAGACAAAAGCAAATTGTAATGAGTTCATTTTTAGGTTGCTGGAAATCCCTTGATTAAAAAAAGTGAATTACTAACTTTGTTTCAACCTGTTATTTCTGCTCCTCCCTCCTCCTATCAAACACACACCCACCCTTTCTCAGCTGTCACCGATCCCTCTGACAAAATCTGTTCTCTACACAATTCCTGATAGCAGTTATTTATAGCCTTTCGGGAATTCAAGGCCAAGTGTTATAAACTGCCCAGGGATGTTTGCTTTCTAAGCCTTACCTCTAATTACTGGCTAAAAATCTTTACCCGCTTAAGAACTTTCAGGCCTCAACTAGCCATTTGGAACAGGTTTTGTGGGAATTCCCTGGAGGAGAGATGGGGGTGGCCGCCTCCTCTGCCTCCGTGGAGTTAGGGACAGACAGGTAACTGAACAGCTCGCTTCCTTTCCCACCCTGTTCAGCTGCATCCACCTGCTGGCTCCCTGCCGTGGTCTGGATGTCAGCGAGAAAGGGAACTGCAGTCTGCTGGCTGTGCCCACTGTATCTGAAAGGAAAGCAAACCAACTGTAACAGCCGCATTTCTGACTACTTTCATTGAATCCTTATCAATTTTATCTTTCCCTTGGTAGAGGCTATTGAATTTTAAGGAAACCCTGCGAAGTAAAGATTTCTTTTGTAATTTCAATAGCTACTTCCTAATTTACCTGTTTTCTAAATCTCTGTGCTTGCAAATCTTACTGACCTAAGTGAGGCTTTCCATTCTGAAATTCTGAGCCTACTTTTTAAAAATTATTTTCAGGCATGCCTAAGCAGATTCATGCTAGGACAGTTTGAGTCTTGGTAAGAGTAGGCAGTGCGACTACTTGTGGTCTTACTTCAAGATGAAAGCAAAAACTTTTCTCCTTATGTTTGTTGTACATTCATTCATCAGCTGTGAATCAGCTGATTTTTGTATACTTTTTATATAGTTGATGCTCAGTAAAAATGTTAGATTAATCCCAAACATAATTTCAGGGCTTGCATTCCTGGAGTTTGATTAACACAAAGAGTGGTCTTGTTTAGCGAAAGATGTGCAGTGATATTGTACCTGCTTTCAGTGTCATTAGCTTTGAAAATTATATTGGAAAATTCATCTCTATTTGCTAAATTTCCATGCATTTATGATCCTTATAAAATGTAAGGCAAATATTTATTATATAGCTCTGTGTTCATTCCAGTAGTGTTGGTTGGTAGTGTGTTAACTGTTCACACTGCATCCTGTAAATGTCTGTGTTTGAATGATTGCCTTTTGGTCTTGCAGCTCGGGGTGTGGTTCTCTCTCGGCTGTGCCCATTTGGCCTTGGAAGACTACGCGGGGTCGGCAAAGGCGTTTCAGCGTTGTGTGACTCTAGAACCCGATGTAAGTTTATTTCATCTTCTTTCCTTATTACAGCTCTAAATGGGTATTCACTAAGTTATTCCAACTGTACTGGAGTTCAAAACAGTAATTCCTATCAGTCTGTACTTTCAGTTATGTAAGATGAGTGCTAGAGATCCACTGTATAACATTGGGTCACATGAATTGTGCTGTATTTCACACTTACATTTTTTCAAACAGTAGATACATAGATATCACGTTGTGTTCTTGTCACTGTAAAAAAAAAAAAAAAAAAGAAAGAAAGAAAGAAAAAAAAAAAAAAGGCCAAAAATGTTTTCCTTCTAAGAGTTTTATTCCTGGTCAGTTTGGCTCAGTGGATAGAGCGTCAGCCTATCCACTGAGCGGACTAAAGGATCCTGAGTTCAATTCCAGTCAGGGGCATGTACCTTGGTTGCAGGCACATCCCTGGTGGAGGGGGGGTTGGTACAGGAGGCAGCTGATCGATGCTTCTCTCTCATCGATGTTTCTAACTCTCTATCCTTCTCCCTTCCTCTCTGTAAAAAAAATCAATAAAATATATATATTTTTAAAAGTTTTATTGTTTTAGCTCTTATATTTATGTCTAACTGTTGTTAAGACTTATTCATTAAACTTATCACACTATGTGTCATGATGGATGTAAACTAAAATTGTGGTAATCATTGCACAATATTTACATATATTAAATCATTATGCTATATACCTAACAGGTATACAGTGTTATATATCAATTATATATCAACTTAAAAATTAAACATCTATAATGTATTTTTTTAGTTCAAGAATTTTCATTTGATTTTTACAGTTTTCATGTTTCTGAGATTTGTAATTTTGTTCCCTTACTATGTTCATGATTCTTCATATCTTTGATCATGTTTATAACAACTGCTTTGAAGTCCTTGTGTGCTTATTCCAACATCTCCTTCATTTCTGTGTCTAGTTCTATTAACTGATGTTTCCTTTGGCTATGGATAAATTTTCCTGCTTATTTGCATGAATGTCTACCAGTTTTTTATTGTGGATGCTATATTGTTGAGTTTCTGGGTTTTCCATTGGAAGATAGAGTTTTATTTTGGCATTTGGTTAATTTCCTTTTGCAGATCAGCTCGGTTTTACTCTTTGCTAGGATGGGTCTGGAGTTGTCTTTATTCTGTGGTTGCAATCAATCACCCTTCTCTTAAGATATAACCTTTTGGGCTAGTATTTAATGCCATGGGTGCTCGATGCCCTCAGCATTCCCCATCTGGTTAGTTAGACCTTGAGTGACTGCTAGCACTGTGTGACTTCCAGAATTCCATCCAGCTCACAGCTTTCTGGAGTTGTTCTCTGCCTTAAGAAGTTTTGCCCTGCACATGTGCAGCTTGGTATTCAGCCAGGGACCCAATGAGACACTTGCTGAGATTTCTGGAGCTTATTTTCTGTGCAGATCTCTCTTTCCTGGTATTTGGCCCTATAAATTCCAGCCAAATTTTCAGCCCTGAACTTGGATCTCTTCTTCTCAATTTGCTGTGTGTTGTGTGGTTTCTGCGCCTCTGGTTAGAAGCCTAGGTTGATTGTTGAGATACCTCAGTTGTTTACCCTGTCTCAAAGAGAAACAAATATTCATATCGTTCTTGTTAGAATCAACATTTATATAAAAGTTTTAATTTGTTTTTGTTGTTGAATAGAGGAATAGGTAGAGAAATGTGTTTGGTGAAATGCTTAGCAATAATACTGGAGAACACACACTCCCTTATTCTTCTATCTGATAAAGGATGATGGAAAAATAGTAGAGCCTTTTAAAATAGGAAAAACAATATTCTGAATATCTTGGGTTTGCAGCAAATATATATATTGTATAAATGATATTGTAATTGTACCACTTTTTTATAAATCTAAATGTAGAAATAAAATCTTAACTAATTTCTAAATTAGTACTTTAATAGTTATATTAATTTGTTGGCTATTTTTGTGACTTTTTCATGCTAAATTATAAAAGTTACATTTAGTTTACTTCATTTTTCTGATACACCTTTAAACATACCTTAGTGGAAATTGTGATTGTAAAGAGCACATTTTGGACTAGGAAAATATGTTATATTTTTGGTTGTAGCAATTATTTTACCCAAATGAGAATATTCTATAACTAGGTTCTCTGTCATTTCAGAATGCTGAAGCTTGGAACAATTTATCAACTTCCTATATCCGATTAAAACAAAAGTAAGTACGTCAGACAAATATGAACTTTGCTTCCAAAATAAATGAATGAGATTTTCTTCAACTGAATACTGAAGCATTGTGCCTTATAGCATTTGACTTCTAAACGTAGTTTAATTCTTAAAAACATTTAATGTGTAATAAAATAAGAAATTTTATTTGAAATCTTTACTTGCTATTGAAGTTTTACATCCTAAACTTCCTTACATGAGAAAAGCAAGCATGCCTTTAGTTGGTCAATTCAGTTGATAGATTCTTATTGATTGTGTACTAGACATGATTGAGAAATAGAAATACAAACCAATGTCTTTAGGGAGTATAGGTGTAAAAATATTGTGCCATGTTATTAAAAATTGATTAACATTGTAGGTAGTATGAGGTAATATAAAGTGAGAAATACAAAGAGGACTATCATGTAGCGGGTGGTATTTGTAGAAAACTTATTCTGTGTCAGACATCTCAGAAGAGAGTAAGTGTACGACCCGAGTTCAGATCCGCTTCTGAGAGAGTAGAAGACACAGAGGAAAGCCATTCGGCCAAGGGGAATTGGATCCAATGCCGAGTGACAGGAGTGAAAACACCTGAGGAGAGAGGCAGAGAGAGAATCAGCTATGGACCCCAGTGAAATCTACAGCGAGAATAAGGTTGAAAGGTCATTTGGGGTCAGGTTGCAGTATGCTCTGATTATCTGACTAACAAGTTAAGACTATTTTGTTGGAAATTGGATGCCAAGATTTCAGTGGGGGTAATTTCACGAAGAAAGAGCTTTTTGGGGAGATTTATCTGGTGGCCGAGTGTGAGACTGACTAGAGAGGAAACTGTGGGCGGGAAACCAGTTAGGACACAGCTGTTGTAACAATCCAGGAGGAGACAAGTAGGCTGGAAAAAGCGGGGGCAGATGCCAGTTTATAAAGGGGACAACCAGATGGGCTTGTTGACCGGCCACAGGGAGCTCAGGAAAGGACAGAGACCCGGATTGCTGTTTCTTGAGCTAGAATGACCGAATTAAAGGATGGATACATTTCTATTAATATTTTCCTTTGGCCTCATTTTCAAACTTAATTTAATTTTTCTTTGTGGATTCACAAGATATTTCTAAAGATATCATCAAGTCCACATTGCACCGAGATCATGAAATGCTTCCGCTGCTCTTGGGTGACAGTCTGCAAAAATAAGGGACTGTTTGCTCTACTATTTTCTTCAGAAAATAATATTATGTTCTTGATTGCAACTGATAGTGTTAAATCTCACTAGAGACCCTTTTGATTGAAAGCAAGGGTCGAGGGAAATCCCTGCCATAGTTGTAGAATGATCTCAGTTGGTTTTTCCAGTAACACTGATAATTTTGCATTTAGGCGTTTTTAAACATTGTTTCTCAACTTCTTTTTGATGCTTCTGTCTGCATGCAGCTCCATGAATAGGTTTTGGTGTAAAAGTGGGATTTTTAAGTTCAGAGGTAAATCACTCTTTCTTTCTTAGCTTTTTACTCTTTCCTTTCTTTGCTGCTACTGCAGACAAGAGTGATTTTTGACTCAGGGAAATTATTACTGTTCTTCTCAAAAGAATCCTAATCATGCCTTACAGCGACTCTTTAAGCTATCTTGTCTATCCTTTTGCCATCACAAGGTTCTTCACTGAAGTTCTTTTCTCTGTTTCATCCGATTCCCCTCGACATTATGTCCCTTCTGGTCCCTTGGGAAATCTTTCCATCTTCCTATACAACCTTCATCATGCAATAGTCCTACCATGTGGCTTTGATAAGTGAATCCTGAATTGAAGTTCCTTCTGAAGAAGCCATATTTACCAAGAAAGAATTTAATTGCAAAAATTCTGAGGCCAGGAAATGAAATTACTGATGACATGGGCACACTTCTTTCCAAATGCTTGTTTTATTTCTACCTGTTTTTGTTTTGTGATTTCATGCTTCTTTTAAAATTTTAAAAAATTTGTAGGGAAATTTGAGGTGGTTTGGGCCTCTAATTCTATTTATTACATGGATAATTAAGGACTGACAGAAAATCCACATCCACACTTAATACACTTGCCTAGTAGCTATGGTGTGTTTAGCTGTGGTTATTCATATTGTTCTCTTTCATCTTGGACCTTCAATAGAGTGAAAGCTTTTAGAACTTTACAAGAAGCCCTCAAGTGCAACTATGAACACTGGCAGATCTGGGAAAACTACATTCTCACTAGCATTGATGTTGGGGAGTTTTCAGAAGCCATTAAAGCTTATCACCGGCTCTTGGACTTAAGAGACAAATACAAAGATGTTCAGGTAGGATATTAATATTTTGTTATTTTGGTTTGTGTTTGGTATTAATACTTGATTAAAGGATATAAATTGTTTCCTTGATTATAAACAAGAACATTTTCAGTTTACACGAGACCCTGTTAATAGCTCTCTTTAGAAGTGTGATAGGAGGCTGGTGGCAGTGTTCACTCCTCTGTGGGTGTGGGCAGGATCACTTCATAGTGGGTAAGTCATCATTGAGGGAAAGCCTTGATGGCTAGTTATGGGCTCAGCCGTATTTAGCTTCGTTGCATATTTCTGTCATCATACTTGATGACAACTAGTCACTGACGATTGGTAGATTGTCTGGAATATTTTTATCTTGGCTAAAAAAATTTAACTTAATTTGACTCTAAGTTCAGCAACAGGTGTCTTTCAAAAAAAAACTCTGATATTATTATGTTTGACATTACCTGACCCCATTCTATTTTAATTTGCTTTAAGATTATTTTTAATCTATTCTTTTTCTACTTCTTTATAGATGTGATTATTTTTGTTTTAATTTGTGTGTGTGTGTGTAAATCCACACTCATTTTAATACAGATGTAGGGTAAATTAGCTATGAATTATTCTTTTCCCCTCCACTATTTGTAATGACTTTTTTTTCTCTGTCTTAATTTTGACTGATGCATATTATAAATTAGCATAGCTCAGAAATGTTTTTCTATAATAGTTGATATCTATATTCATATCTAGATTATACATATTTTTATTAATTTATCATAAAACTAATTTTCAAGTAACTGTATAATTAGTTCCTATTCAGTTTTTCAATTTTCTGCTAATGTAAATAATAACATGAATATCCTTGTAGTCCTTATATTTATTTATGCTTCTTTCCTCAGAGTAATTGTAATGGCGATTTGTTCTTTTTCCCCCTTTTTTCTCTCCCTACCCCCTTTTATCCTCCTTTCCATTCTCTTATTTTTCCTTTGATAACTTGGCACTTGGGGAAAAGAATTTAAATATTGCATTATTATACCCCATTTGCTTTTTATAAATAGAAGGGAAGGAGATTAACACATACTGAGTGCTTACTACATCCTGAAACTTGCATGGGTAACCTTTTAGAACTACAGTATTTGAGAAGGATACTGATATTCCTCATTTTGCAGTAGATGACTGGTGACCCAGGGAGGTTGTACAACTTGATCAGTCACATGACCGGCACCACAAATGCCCGTTTTCTCCTTGTGTTGACTTGAAGTCTGTGGGAAATTTATGTTAAAAAGCACGTTTCCCCATCATACTAATGTGCATGTGAACTATGTCTGACAAAGTATTTTTTTCAAATTGGTGTTAGATTTATATGTAATAAGATGTACAGACCTTGAGTGAATGTTTGGTGTGTTTTGACCAGGGCATATTCTTATGCAGCCACTTCCCAAAGCAGATAGGGATGTTGTCCACAGACGTTCTCGCGTGCCCCTTCCCGCCAGCTGAGCCCCGCCCTCTCCTCAGCCACCACAGTTTCTGATTTCTGTCACCACAGTTCAACTTTGCTCTTTCTCAAATGTCATATAAACAGAATCTTGAGTGTCGTGTAAATACATACGTATGTCTTCTTTTATATAGATGTCCTTTGTGTGGCTTTTTCTTTGGGGAAGGAGGGAGGTGGTATAGATGTGGGTGGGGCGGCTTGCCAGCCAAACTGAAGCCCTGAAACAAGTGGTGGCTGAGTTACCTGAAAGAAAAGGGGACAGAGGAACATGTGTACACAAATACTCTCTGTGGCATAGGATGATCTCCACTTAACTGGCGCCGGGTCTGAGGCTCAGCAGGGTGAACAATCAGGCCGACATCTCACAGCTAACAGGTAGGAAAGCCGAGCCTCAGAGTCTGGCGTCTGGTCTGTTTACCCTAAAGCCTGTGTGTGTCTTTTCCACACGCTAAGACTTTTTCCCCCCGAAGAAGTGAAAAAGAAAGTGTCTAACTGCCTATTGCGCTCTGGTAACCACGGTGTGGGGAGCAGGGTCAGGGTTATCAGGCCAGGAAACGGCAGTTCTCTGGAGAGCGCCAAGTGGAGCAGGGTGGTAGCCACGCTGGGGAGGCGGGTAGTAGCTCTGTGCCTGGCCTTGAGCCCTTCTAGGAGCTTTTGTAACTGTACCTGAGGCAACCCTTTCCTTCCTGCTTTGAAGGCCTCCAGGTTCAAAGGCCAACACCATGTGCTTTCGGCCAAGATTTTGGTGAGACTGGCCAAGGACTTCAAGGTTTGTGTTGGCGAAGGATTTAGTTGCACTTCTTTTAGTGGAGACTCTTCAGCATTGATATGAGAATCGCTTCTCCTCCACATGAGAAAATGTCAGCTCTCTGCAGGGGCTGGTGGTGGTTTCCTGCCATTACTGCCTGCTTGCTTCATCCTCCAAGCGTGGGCTATGGAGGTGAGAAGTAGGCTTGGGACAGAGAGCGGAACAAAAGTTCTCTGGCACTGAAATGAATTAGAGATGCAGTTAGGGATGCAGAAGTCATTATGTGGAACCAGTCATTCAACAGAGTACAGGGCTCTTTATACTGATAACAATGAAATCCCTCTAAGAATCCGGACTCAAAAAATAAACTTAGAGTATTTTATGATATACCAAATAAGTTTCAAATGGACTAAATATATGCTAAATATTTTTCATCTCATAGAAAAATTAGGAATAGGAATTAGAAATAGAAGTGATACTTACCAAGTTTTCTAAACCTTGAAACAAAAGAAGAAAGCTTAAAGGAATTTTTATGACTTCCTTAAAAAATATGTGCTTAAAATATTTGTAATAAAGAGGAAGATAAAAACCTAACAATATCCTTGTTATATAAAGAGTTAACATCTGCTACAGGAATGAAATGCTAAATGCGATAGAATAAAGGATTCAGGAACAGACTCAAGTAAGTGTGAGGATTTAATGTAAAATAAGGATGGCATTTAAATCTGTGGGATAAAGTTGGAGTATTCAATATGTATTGGAATAGTTGGCCAAGTATTTGGGACCAAAAATTGAAGCTCTGCATCACTCCTTAAACCAAAATAAATGCAAATGGATTAATATTTAAATTGAAATGCCTTGAGAAGAAGGATTATGTAGGTAAGAGCATAGATTCTGGGGTTAGACAGCCCGGGCTTATTGCCTACCTCTGCCATTTATGAGCTAAAACTTGGGCGAGTTACCTCAACACTTTGTTCTTTAGTTTCATAAAATGGGGATGATAATAATACCTGGTTGTTGTGAGGATTATATGACATAATGTATATAAAGGGCCTGGCACAAGTGTTGTTTAAGTGTTGCTATGCTGTCATCATCGTCATTATCATCATTAATGAAAAAGTAAAATGATAAAAGCACTAAAAGAAAGTGTGGTAAATATTTTTTTAAGCTCAGGGGTGGAGGAAACATTTTTAATCCTGACACAATGCCGTAATTCATTAAGGAGAGATTGGATATTTATTGATAAAATCTCTGCGTGTAAGGAAAGAATGACTGACCAGGGAATTGGGTGCTGGAGGTCACATCTTCATAGGGGCAGGCTGTGATGTGAAAGCCATCCATGTAGTGCTTCCTGCACTGAAACTGGAAGATGATCAATAGAAGCCGGGTCATTGCCCTGGTGAGAGTTTGTTTCAGTGTTTTCAAGCTCCTGGTGTTGCCAGTGCTGTTGGCCCGTGGGCAAGGTCAAGCTGATTCTTTAGTGGATTCCCCATTACAGCAGTCGATGATTGAGGAGGCACTTTCTATGCTTCTAAGAAGCTGCCTTGAGACACATTGTCTAATATAGATATGACAGATATGTAACCTGCTTTGGGGCTCAGCCCATCTGTCCTCACCCATAGCATCTGGGATAGAATGTGTAAACAAATGAAAGCAAGATAGCCAAGAAGTGGACAAGTGGTGAGCGGACCTGGGGAAGTTAGAAGGACAAGAGGTGCTTCCTGGATACTCTGCATGCCTAATGCACATGCATTAGCAGTTTATCCTTCAGCACTTGGGAGGAGTCAGGACCTGGTTAAGGAAGAGAGATGGGGTTTGTGTTTCACTCTCGGATGGAGGGAGTGTGAGACGTTGACAGGCCACGCTGGAAGGTATGAGGCCCACCATCATGGAGCTCCGGAGAGGAGCTGGGCTGGAGCTGTGCCGACACTGTCAGAATAGACTTGGTAAAATATGTGAAGCCACAGGTGTGGGTCAGGTCATTCAGAGGGAACTCAGGATGAGGAGAAAAGAGCACTGAGCACAGTGCCCTGGGAAAGAAAAGCCTTTGGGAGGCCTGAAAAGGGACACCAGAGAAGTTAGTCAGCATGTAGTTCTGCAGAGTGACTCAGGATGGCTTGACTTTTTATTTTTTATAATTGTAAGGATGAGCCCAACCAGTGTGGCTTGGCTGATTGAGCATTGTCCCATGCACCAGGAGGTTGCAGGTTCGATTCCAGGTCAGGGCAGATGCCCTGATTGTGAGCTTGATCCCCAGGAGAGGGTGTGCACAGGCAGCTGATCGATGTTTCTCTTTCATCAATGTTTTTCTCTCTCCCTCTCTCTTCTCTCTGAAATAAATAAAAACATATTTTAAAAAGGGAAGTGTAAGGATGATCTTCTAGCAGGTCTCATGTGGTTTGTCGTTGTTGATGATGATGATGATGGGTGCCTTTGTTTTTTTATTATTGTTTGGTTGTTTCTAGCTAACCAGTTTCTTCTGTGATTTTTTAAAGGTCCTTAACATCCTAGTGAGGGCAGTGATTAATGGGATGACTGATCGCAATGGAGATGTCGCAACTGGCCTCAAAGGAAAGCTGCAGGAGTTATTTGGCAGAGTAACTTCGAGAGTGACAAATGACGGGGAAATCTGGAGGCTGTACGCCCAAGTATATGGGGATGGGCAGAGCGAGAAGCCTGAAGACAATGAAAAGGTGAGTTCTTCTTCTCTCCTGGCTCTTGTTTGGACATATGTCTAGTGGATCTGCTTTTTTCATGGTTGGAGAAAACGTTTAGTGATGTGTAAGATAAGATTAATACGCTCAAGTTTTCAATTTGATTCCGTCTTTAACACAAGCACCTTGAATTGTGGGCAGGTTAAGACTTGTAAGCATTCATCTTTTCTTTGTCCATGAATTTTTTTTATATAAATGTTCTCTGTTTTCTGCCAAAGGGTCTCTAAGCAGCTTCCTTACCTTCAGAGCTGTGGCAAACAGCTAGCTAGCTCATCCTGACCTCAGCACCCTTTCTGCAGGCTCATTGCTGAGGAGTAAGGTAGACTGGGTAAAGGACCAAAGGGTGTTTAAATCTGCAGTGGCCTGTAAAAGGGAAAGAGGAGAAGGAGCCAGATTAGAAGACTGGAGAAGAGCTTGGTGAGGTTGCCCCATTTACTCTCCAGTTGTGCCCGTGGCCTCCTATCTTAGACCTTCAGTGTTTCCAAGTTTGGAACAATTGTGTTCTTCTCAAACATCCACAACAAATCAAACGTGGTCTGTGTGAGTTTGGAATTAGCTTCAGCACAGCTCATCTTTAGGATTCTTGGCCACTCTCTCCTCCCTCGGTCTACCCCGTTGGCTTCTCCCAGTGCTTGTCACCTGGATAACATATACACTTCCACACCCACTCCTGCTTTCTGTCCTTCCCAGTCTCCTTGAGTTCCCTGCTCCCTTCTCTATTAAGGGTACTCTGAATTCTCTCACCTGTGACTTCTCCCTCAAGAATCAGGTTGTGAAAGAAATGTCGTAAACTCTTGTGAAATTTTTTTTTTTTACTTGTCACTATTTTTATTGTTTGCTACATGACTGACCTATGTACTCAGAGTACCAGGATTTTGGTAGAAGTGTCAATTGAGGACTATCTAGATCAGAGAAAACCCAAATTGAATATTTGTCTCAAAAATTTAAAAAGACAACAAATTATTTAAGTTAAAATAATGAAATATGTTAATGATTAAGAAATATGTAATTTTTCTAGAGTTTTTTTTTTTCAGTATAAAAATATATGTCATGCACATTTGCACACATACATATATGGATATACAAATATTAATAACCAAATACTAATCTTTACTAATAAAAGGGTAATATGCAAATTGTAAATTTCTGTTTGAAAGGAAGTGTTTTGGTCCAATGTCATGTGATGTCTTTTCATGCTGATTGCTGTTGGATGAGCATCCGTGCCCCTTCTTTGATGAGAGTGAGGGAGACTGTGCTGTGTCCCACAGATGCTGGTTTTCAAGTTGCAGTTAATTCCGTGTAACTTCCAGGGAACAGTTTGAAATGTGATTCTGTTTGTTCTGAATTGTTGTTCTTTTTTCCTCAGGCGTTCAGTTATCTCTCTAAGGCCTACAAGTGTGACACACAGTCCAGTGGCTGGGAGAAAGACACTGCATCATTTAAGAAACTGGTTCGGAGAGCCTTGGATCTTGCGCATGGTATTGATGTAACGTTTGCCATCCATGGTATATTAGACTGTATTTTTACTGATAAGAGAAAGTAGTAGGCAAGAGTCAAGTGTCATTACAAGTAATTTCAAATGGTATTGAAATTGTTGTATTTAATTCAGCAAACATTTATAGACAAACTACCATGTAAGAGGCACTTTTGAGCAACAAGAAGACATAGGATAGAGGTTTAAGTACCATTTGAATAAATGACTGATATTAGAAACTTTAAAGATGTGAAAAATCTTTACAATGGTAGTTATCCTTCAGGTCACAGTCTGTTCGCATTGATATATAGTATTAAGGATATCTTTTAACCTTTCCTGACTCATACACAGTCTTCCTTTAGAGATGTATATCCAAATAGCCTTGAGAAATGTAATGGGTGATATCTGAGGGAAGAAGTAATCTTATATGTAAAGTTGTATACCTGTGTGGTAAATGTCCTGTCTAATAAAAGAGTAATAAGCAGATTGATCATCATTCTAATACACAATATGGCTGCCCCCATGTGGTCAAAGATCTTGCTCCTATGTGGACACAAGATGGCCATCAGGAGAGGCAGTTAGGAGGGACCAGGCCTGCAAGGGAGGGCAGTTGGGGGCCATCAAGCCTTCAGGGGAGGGTAGTTAGGGGTGACCACGTTAGCAGAGAAGGGAAGTTGGGGACAAACAGGCTGGCAGGAGAGCAGTTAGACATCAATCAGGCTGGCATGGGAGTGGTTAGGGGGTGATCTGACTGGCAGGCAGAAGCAGTTAGGAGCAATCAAAAAGGCAGGCAGGCGAGCAGTTGGGAGCCAGCAGTAATGGATTATGAGAGGGATGTCCGTTTCTGTAGGATCAGACCTAAATGGGCAGTCAGACTTCCCTTGAGGGGTTTCAGATTGGAGAGGGTGCAGGCTGGGCTGAGGGTCAGCCTCCTCCCCCTCTGCCCCTGTGCACGAATTTCGTGCACCGAGCCTCTAGTATTCTAGGTAAAGGCTGTTTTTAATTATTTGCATTAATCATTTAGTGATACATTTTTATATTTATACTAGTGGCTCAGTGCCTTTTATAGATATAGATTTGATTATGGGTCTTTGATGCCCTGGATTACAGTTCAAACCACAATGTTAAGACCTGAGTCACAAGTACTGTGAACTTATACTAAAGTCCTCCTCTAAATTCTCCTGCAATTGATAATTACAGCAAATGGGGAGCTGTGGTCCAGTGGTTGATATCAGTTCTCCCGGAGGTGGTGTAAACCCTGAGTGTGAAATTGCAGTAGGAACTGAGCAGTGAATCTCTCTCCTGTCTCTTCCTTGGGCTTAGTATCATCAGCAGGGATTCCCTTGGGGAAGCCACACGGAGAGTGT